TCTTAGTTAAGTAGGTACTTCTCAACTTTGTCAAAATGAATAAAATAAAAAAATACGAAGTGGCATTTTATCATCACGGTAACCTGTCTTAAACCCAATTCCTCTCGTAAAATTACTTCCCCTGTAGTTACATTTATTTTTTCGATTGAAATTAACTTTTATATCATTAATATATATAGCCTATCAACAAAACCTACTACTGTTTGTTTACCTTCTTCCTTAGGGGCTGTTCAAGTATTACGTAAGCACTATAGGGGGGCAGGGGGGTCTTTGCTTTGCTTATTTTTGATGACATGGGGGAGTGGGGGGTAGAGATGTTGATTACGTCAGCATCATCAATTAAGTCTTTTTAAGTACTGCTGCTCATGAAGCTCATGAAAGCTCATGAATCAATAAAAAAACAGAATACATTAAAGGAAAAATGCATATAGGTACCAATGTTTACGTAAGGATGGGGGGGGGAGTAAGAGCTTTGCTTACTTTTGCTGACGAGGGGGAGGAGGGGGAAAATAATTGTAATAAATCTGCTTACGTAATACTTGAACGGCAGCTTATACATGTAACAAGCACTCAACTTTTGTCCTGGAAAAAGTTATCATTTCCATGGACAGTAAATTTTTGAGAAAAAGGTTCGTCTACATTGCGTTGTTGTGTCCCGCTTGTCAGTGCTCACTTCAAGCCAGTCCGTCTTCGCTGGAGCACACGCACGCGCAACAACGTCATTGTGGATTCCCGCCAAATAGTAAGTATATCATTTCAGTGATATGGGGACAATTGATTCGGTGGACAGTAATACCGATAAGAGTCCAGGGAATGAAAGTATCGCCGAAATGCTACATCCATAAGTTTTTAGAGATCCTTGAGTCAATATAGGTATATTTAATGGTTTTGGTTTATGATGTACATTTATCTAGATACTGTAGGTTCGATATTTCGGGTACAGTAGTATTTCTATCTAAAATATCTAGTTTAAAAATGTATATTAAAGTTAAAGTGGACGAATTTGTTGGCGGCCGATAGTATTCCTAATTAAATAAGTGTAAAAAATCAGTATTATACATCTGCACTTGACTCACTTACACATAATGAGCCATTAGAATGGTTTCTGAAGGAAAACGATCAGATTGGCTTGTTTCTGTAGCCAAAGATCTGTATAATCCATGGTACTCTTCAGGTATGACACCTTTGTTACACAAATCATCAAGATCTTTTTTCTTTGCTATAGATCTTTTTTTTATAAATAAGTTCGACAAATGACTCCACCAGAGGTTAGGTGACGGAGGAGTTTAGACGCGAAGTTAGCTGGCACAGCAGTATTACTTGCCACACCAGCTATCCTCATTTTGCCGGCCTGTAGAATTGCTACTTCACACACGTAAGAGGGCAAAGTAATCCATTTGCGGATAGTCTGGCAAAGAAATGAGTTACCAAATTTCTCTGTTCACGTTGGGATAGTGGGAATAGTAGTTCACAGTAAGTCGGTGACAACGTAAGCCAGGGCGTGTAGACTTCTGTAGGAAAGAGGAAGGTAGGTTAAGGGACAATAACTCCTCAAAACATGCGCTATGGTATAGACGATAAAACGCGCTTAATAACGCCACATCACGGCGTAATTGAAATTTAGTCACCTCCTTATCGCCAATAATGCGGATCGCGCGCCGCTGTAACCTATCCAAAGCATCAAAAAAGTAAATAAAACTAGTTTTTACGGGTTAATGCACGAAAACTTTATTTATTTATTGACGTTTCGGACGTTACTTGGCGGGGCCATACTCTGGGGTGCGAACAATATTCCATGCAAGACCGTACTTACGTCATGTACACAGTTGCTCAGGCGTGAAAAAATATTAGTTTTACCGTGAAAGCGCAGACCTGGGCTTTCTTGGCAATGAACTCAACCAAGTTCTTGGTACCGCATTCCGAAATGCGGTCCAAATCTTGATAGAGTTCAATGACAAGATTCTCCCGTTTCTCTTTGGTTTCTACCTGTCCAGCGGCTGCGTGTCCATAATATCCCGCATGCACTGTATTATCGTCTGCATAGCAATGAATATTCTCAAGAGGAATTAAATCATTGAATGCAGCAAAAAGAGTGTAGGGGATAGGACGGAGTCCTGAGAAACACCGGCATTCACTGACATGAACTTCGAACTACATCCGTCGCCGTCCGTTGACGCTCATGCAGGAAGTCAGCTACTCAGGCACAGAACTGAGTAGGCAGACCGTATCCAGGAAGCTTGGAGATAAGACTTATGTGCCAGACCCTATCAAAGCCTTGGCGATGTTAAGGCTGATAGCCAAAGACTCACCTCGCTTATCGATAGCCTCATCCCAGATATATGTCACGTACGCTAGAGGGTCACCTGTCGATCGATTCGGTCTATCCTCTTTTACTTGCCTCAAATATAACGCAAACATATTATATATATTTTTTTGCAAAAAGCGACAGTTTGTTAGTTTTTACTTCATCTAGTAAAATTAAAATATCTGGTAAAATTCAAACAGTCAAAGTCAATTACAGGATACTCACAGTATATTTACTCTAAGTGTCTACATGAAAAATGAGTTTAAATCCGAAACTTGGTTTCAGCGGTAATACATTTACAAACTTAAGTGTTTTGCATGGGTTTATTAGGTTTTAAATAAAGAATTTTGGAAATAATTTGCAGTTATTCTGTTTATTCATAAGCTATTTCAGGAAGTATGCGTTGTAGAGCATAATGGGTTTTACCTGTAGATGCGGCTTAGTGAGACGGGAATGAAGGGGACGATTTACTAACTAATAAACTTCTCGCTTTCTAAACGCGCTTTGTTCGTTATTTTGAAAATGTACATATTAATAGTTATAATTAGTATAATAATAATTAATAGGAGTAACAATTAATTAATTCTTCATTAATAATTCTTATTAAAAAATAATGAACAAAAATATTTACAAAGAATAAGGAAATTTATTTAAATTCAAAATAGGGTACCCTTCTACTACAAAGGTGATGTTCTTGGCTGTATCATTTCGGTGGTCATTTTTTTACCATTTCGGTAGACAATTTTCATTTCAGTGGACTGCCGAAAACTCATCCTTAAATATTTCAGTAAGTGGTGATTGTTGAATTTGACCCGTAGGATCGTTTAAAAATGGAAAAAAAAACCATTAATAATATATTTACTTTTTTTATTTTGCACCTTTAATTGCATTTTGTGCAAAAACTATGGGAGATACGCGAAAATATGTTGATACCTTTTTTGTAGGAAATTAAATTTTCTACAACTTTGTACTAGGAACTTTTTCTACTTTTCCTTTTTTCTTTGTCAGTCGCGAGATATTGACGAAAAACTCGTTTTTGCACCCTTTCGCATTTTTTTTTCACCCTTTGCCGTCAATGCAGCACCCTGCAATTTTAGTATATTAATCTACGAACCTTTGCGGAAATTTTCGCGTTGGTTGCAGGTGATCAACTCAAAATGGCAAAGTTAAGCCTTCATTGACTGGACTAACTCAAACTCAAATCATTTATTGCAACCATAATGTGTACAGTGGGTGGTAGGTACTTATATAAATATGAGCATTATGGACCCCGTCGGGCACGCAATTGGTTATTAGAAGAGAGGATACGCTTCTCAGAAGAACAACACCAATAGTAAAATTTAAATTGGATGTTAGAGATTGTTTCATTTGTTTATTTTTGATTGTTATAATTGGATTGGATCTGATTTAATTATAAATAATAATATTAATAATTTCACAAAATTAAATATAAAATATAATAAATAATTAAATAAATTATTTGTACATGTACATTAATAATTACTGATCTTATCATTAAAATATTCATTTACATTATAATAACATTTGTTAATTAGAAATTCCTTTAATTTATTTTTAAATGTCAAGTAATTATTTTCATTCATTATTGTATTGGGCAATTTGTTATAAATTTTAATTGATGAATTAAATGTGCTTGATGATGATAGTTTTAGCCTAGAATTAGGCAATATTAATTTATTGTTGTATCGAGATGTGTATCTAGATGGAATGTCTTGTCGTCTAGTGTAGAATTCGCTATGTTTGCGCACAAACTTGCACACTTCCAAAATATACAAACACGGTAGTGGAAGTATCTGGTACTCTTGAAAGAATGGTCTACAACTCTCCGTCTGCTCGATGTTGGCTATGATACGGATTAACTTTTTTTGCATGGTAAGCAGCAAATGTGCGTCCGTACTGTTACCCCACAACACCACCCCGTAACACAGCCAAGCATGGGCGTAAGCGTAGTATGTAACTATAGCTGTTTCTCTATCAGTCGCCTTTTTTACCTCGCGTAGCGCATAAGCAAAGCTAGACAGTTTAGATTTTGTTTTTTGTACGTGAGCTTTCCAGTTGAGGTGCCTATATATCACTATACCCAACAATGTGAACTCTTCCACACAATCCAATCTTATACCGTTGTAGATAAAATTTAAATTTAATTGAGTTTTCTGGTGTGGATGGAAAGTAATTATTTTGGTTTTTGTAAAATTTACTTTTAAATTGTGATCATTTAACCAGTCTAAAGTTTTGTTAAGTAAGCAATTCAAATTTTTGTTAACATCATTATTGTTATTGTTGTGGCATGAGGTAAGTAAGGAGATATCGTCTGCGAACAGAATGCAGGGCTCCTCCATAATCTTTGGAAGGTCGTTTATGCAAGCCAAAAACAGAAGACATCCAACCACGCTTCCTTGAGGTATAGAAGCGTTTACAATTTTACAATCGGAGCGTACGCGTGTGATGTTTCCACTATCATCAAAGTATTCAATTTCTACATATTGGCGCCTATCTTTTAAGTATGATGCAAACCATTTGTGCGCAGATCCACGAATGCCCATGCCATACAATTTATTTAGCAAGATATTGTGCTGTACTCTGTCATATGCTTTAGTCATATCTAACAGTATACCTACACCGTATTGTTTATTTATTGACTATAAAGAGTTTAAAAATATTTTTTTAGACTTACAGGAAACATCGATTTTGTTTGTATGATGTTAAATTCGTCGAGGAAATGCTGCGTCATATTTAGTGCGTCTGTTAACATAGCATGGTCTGGGTGACTCGCTGGTGTATACTTAATGAGATCCTGAAAATAAATATAAATTCACGCTATATACCTGGATGAAAGAAAGAAAACAATGATTACAGGGAAAACAATAGCCTACTCGAGAGGTTCCGGTTTCGAGTCCCGCGGTGGGGATAGACATTTGTGTGATGAATATGAGCATTTGTACTCCAGTCATGGATGTTTAATATGTATTTCTATAGAAATACACAGTATATGTATTCTATCCGTTACCCTAGTATCACAGAACACAAACTTACAGTGCTAACTTTGAGGCTGGGCAAATAGATGTTTAGATCCGGGGCTAAAATTGATGCGGGGCCCATTTAAGGATATAAAAATCATCTGATTCCCATTTGTTCTAATTTCCGCTTTTATGCATAATATGCATTATTGGGAATGTTAGCCAATAAAACACGTTATGTTACTCTCTAAACAGCTGTATTTATTGGATTATTGGCAAGAACTTTTTCCTGTGTAGAAGGGAGGTCATGTACAGTACAAACTTCTTTCCGGTATTTCATGGGATGATGGGGGCCGCTGCGGGGCCCGGGGCTCTGCCCCCCCAAGCTCCTACGTTAATCCGCTCCTGGATTTAGAAAAAAATGTCGGTACCCTATATCACGGGCGGTCCCTAAAAACATCATCGATCGGGAACATAAACCACTCACGTGTAATACTAGTGCGTTCTTCTGCACCCTGGCAACAGGTTTGTGCAGTAAATCGTCCAAAGACATGGGCTGGCCGCGACAGGCGATCTGGCGTGTAAGGTCTGCGAACCGTTGAGAAGTCGAGCATCGCCGTCGGACAGCGTCCGTCGCGCGACCGTAGTTATGCAGGAAGGCACCGTAGATGTTTATATTTTCAGCCTATCATTAAAATATATACAATAAAATGAAAATATATTTATTATTAGAACTAATAAAGGTTACCTAAAAATATTTTTTTCCTAAATCCGAATTTGCTATCATATCCACATGTTTAAATTTTCGAAATAGAGTGGCGATGGGGATGGGGGGGGGGGGGGTCCGGGTCACCTAAAACATAAAAAATATCTAGATTTTTTCTCTGAATCCGAATTTGGGTCCGAGGAGGGGTCAGGGTCATGTAAAATCGAAACAAAACCTATTTTTTTTGTTATATATTATGATATCATTTAACTATCGAACACCCCGTTTTAGCACGACAGTCCCTAATTCATGGTTTTTCTTTCTGAGTATAAAACAACCAAGTAGGTGCCGGCGACCTCCTAAGCAAAGAAAATTGGTTCCCCATACAAATTTCCACCTAAAAAATTAGATACTACCCTATGTCCTTAGACTCTACTATTTATATACATACCACATTTCATCTAAATCGGTTCAGCTGTTTAAGCATGAAGAACAGACCGACAAATATTATTTAAATTAATACTAATATAATTATTAATTTATTTAAATTAATAATAATATTAGTATTGTTATAATATTATTATTGTATTGGAACTAGTTTCCTTTGATGAAAACTTATATGAAAATAATAAATTTAATCTTTTATCAGCAATGACAAAAAGTATTTGTACTAATTAAATGTAGAAATCATACCATTTTCTTGAAGTGACTACCCACTGAAAGTGGTTCTTCCCAACTGGCAACAGCTGATTTGAGCCCCTCCAAAAAGCTTTTGTGTAACTCATGTAACTCTGATATCTTGTAGAATATAGTATTGAATTCTTCTTCTGTTATTACAGGTTGAGAAGTGGATAAAGTTGCTTTGATTGCGTTCATGTACTAAAAGGAGAATATTTAAAAATAAAATCTGACAGTAATATTGATGTACAGTGAATATCAATATTACTGTGTACACGCATAGAGACAGTTATATTTTCAGTATAAATTACCTTTTCCATGACATAGAGACATTCAACGTAAACGGTTTCACTTTCAATAATACTCGTAACGATACATCTGTGCATGGTAAGTCGTTCGGCCTCCGCATTATTGCTGTTATTCGATTCCTTTAACAAAAATATATAAAACACCGTTAAAATTACTCAAATATGGATACAATAAAAAAAGTTAAATTTAAAAAATCAATAAACCCGACTATTTATTAACAGAATTATAGACTACTGGACTTGATTTTTCTTTTCAGTTTTTATTAGAAGTATAATTATACTTCTAATAAAAACTTATTACTTTAATATAATTTAATAAAACTTATTAAAGCCTAATTAGGCAGTCAGGTTTTTTGATTTTTTAAATTTACCTTTTTTATTTCACACTTTTTAGTTAGTTAGTATTTTAAGACGGTATATACCGTAGTCTTGTTACTTGAGTTAGGGAATTAATATCGCGGGAATTATTAAGTACCTTGCGGTGGTCTAAAATATTGATTTATTAAGACATATAGACTTTACCAGCGGGGTCAAGGCTACAGATGGGCCTCAATTTTCACAAAAATATGTGAAGTTAAATCAAGTCGTTACATAAATATCTAAAGTTTGTAAATTTTATACAAAACTAGCACTTATTCAAAAAGTCATCTTTTGTTTATGTTCTTTTTAGTAGTTCAGCAGTAAATATAAAATTCATTTACTTTTATTCGTCGACTATTTAAAATTGGCAGTGGCTGCATTGTCATGTCAACGCCCGGCTGTAAGATTGTGATATACACAAATGCAGTGTCATATCCTAGTCTCATAATTTAATATACCTACATAATTCACAGAAACCCAATATGTAGATGCCAGAAGTTAACTTCAAATGTTGATAATCACCCTATATACAATACCCACAATGACGTTTATGTCGCAGGTTGAAGAAAGCAGTATTCCCGTCTGTTGTATTGGACAATGGTGGCAACTGCCTTAGATCGCGAAATTAAATAATTATGCAATCACCAAAGCAAAGTTTATAATATTTGATTAAAGTAAAGGCGCATAATAAAATTTTAATAACGTTAGGTAGAGCAACATAGCAATCTCATTTATCATCAATTTATAGTTCTCTTTGTAGTTTTCTTTTAAAGCGTTCACATATAACAGGTCAAAGACTTTGTGATCGACCCTTTTTACCTGACTGCGCAATGCAAGAGCGCGAAGCGCGACGCGCAGACAAGGTATAGTGTTTAACAGTCTATATATGTATGTTTGTTCCTTTGTGGCACAATAGAGACCAAACGCCTGGACCGATTTTGATGATTCATACATCAATAGATTCGTCTCAATCATGGGAGTGCTACTAAAGATATGATAGTAATCAAAATTCAATATGGGCAAAATTAGGCGCCATATTGTAACGAAATAAAAAAAATAAGTAGACAAAATATGTCGAGTGGGGTATCACTGTCTAGATAATCGAAAATCATGTTTAGGTTCCTAACACCATTTTTAATTCTATATTATTGTTTAGGATCTACGACGCTTTAAAAGTGTATATTAACCACTTGCGCTTTTAATTTCAATCTTACGTTTGTATGGATCTTTGTTACTCTTTCACCTAAAAAATACTGAATGGATTTTAATGAAACTTAACAGTAATGTAACTCATGTATGATAATAACATATATATAATAATTTATGTAGTTATATAGTGAATTGGCCAAAATATAACAATAAGTGTCACATAAGACGGGAAAAAATCTCCCATCTGCTAGCCATTTAGCCATTAGCACTGCAAAAATAATAAAAGTTACATGAATGTAATAGAGTGAAAAAAAGTATCTCCTTAATAATTATAAAAAAAGTCCGTGACACCATATATATATTTTTAATGTGTAAGCCATTACCGCTAAAATAGTGAATCAAAACTAAAATATTATTTGATATCTATTTCCAAAATGCACATTTTGTATTAACAAATTATTTTTTATCAAAACAAATACTTTTATCGTTTTTGATATTTAAAGACGATAAACTTTACCTTTTACACTATGTCATTTCGACAAATACTTAAAAAGCTACAACGATGACAAAGTGATAGCGCGGTGTCACAAAGTCTTTAACCTGTTATATGTGAACGCTTTTAAAGAAAACTACAAAGACAACTATAAATTGATAATAAATGAGATTGCTATGGTGCTCTCCCTAACGTTATGAAAATTTTATTAAACGTAAGATTGAAATTAAAAGCGCCAGTGGTTAATATATAACTTTAAAGCGTTGTAGATCCTAAACAATCATATAAAATGAAAAATGGCTTTAAGAACCTAAACATGATTTTCAATTATCCAGACAGTGATACCCCACTCGACATATTTTGTCAACTTTTTTTTTTTATTTCGTCACAATATGGCGCCTGATTGTCCTCATATTGAATTTTGATTCCTATCATATCTTTAATAGCACTCCCATGATTGAGACGAATCGATTGATGTATGAATCATCAAAATCGGTCCAGGCGTTTGGTCTCTAGTGTGCCACAAAGGAACAAACATACATATACAGACTGTTAAACACTATACCCTGTCTGCGCGTCGCGCTTCGCGCTCTTGCATTGCGCAGTCGGGTAAAAAATAAGTATCACAATCATTACAGTTTGTATACTCAATGCAACACGAAACTGTGCACAATGGCTCTTAAAATTCTTGTTTATGCAACAAACCCTACCTACTTTAGCTGTTTAGTGACTTTATTCCAAACCTTTTCAGTTTTTAACAGTTATTGAATAAAACCATGCAAACCGTGACTTTTCTCGTTGTACTTTCCATAATCCAAAATTCTAAAAGTCATGAATCTGATAGTAAGTTCCAGAATTATTAATATTTATCATGTATTTATTTATTTGCTTGACAATATTGACATTTTAATTATTACATAATTATTTAATGACAGGTCCCGAGGTAAATCGAGTAGAAATTTCACCATTTTATGATACTATTATATTCAGCGACGTCATTGATATTATCAACGAATTGAATAAGAATCTGGTATGTATTTTATGACTTAATTTTTATATAATCAAAGCTCATTCTTGTGAGGAATAGATAATAAATTAATATGGACCTTAAATAAACATTTTAGAATTCACCTTTCGACGACAATAGTGACAGTGAAAGTGATGAGAATATTGAAGACTTATTAACAGAATATCAAAACTATTTAGATAAGGCTCATGAACAAAGACGAATATACCTAGATAAATCCAACAAAACTAAAAATAAGGTACCACTTTTACGGCACGAGAACTTTGTTAAGTCCGACACGCCAAATTATTATAAGTACAGCAATTATTATGCCCACAATTACTATAATCCAAGCACCATTAAATTCCCTTCTGCGTCATTCAACGGCCCGTTAGATTTGTTCATACCCTTAAACCCAACTCTGCGCTCTTTTAACAATCTTGATCATGCAAATACGTCTCAAAGAAAAGACTTTAAAGCAGAATCATTACTTGCTTATGAAAAAATTGGGAAGGAAAAAAGACCATTTTATTTCCATCCTCTACTGCAGAAATCTACAAATGGACCTCTGAAATCGTCTTGTTTCTGCAAACCCTATGAAACACCTTGCAAATGTTATTCCAAACAAGGTCTGGTATCTTTGAATGAAAACGAACCAAAAATAATGAATATTGATGGCTTAAAAAATATTGAGCCTACATTGACAGAACACAATTTATTAGAAGATATGATGAATAAAGCCAATACCTTGAATTTTAGAATTAGAGTCGACGTTCAACTGCCAAATGTCGCAGAAGGTACTAGCAAATACAACAGGCTAAACGGTCGCGATGGTGCTTTGGAATACGACGACTTATCTAAAGAAACTTCATCAAATATCAGGCTACCATCTACATACTTCAATTTCCCTATACCTATGGATGTTTTAGGATTTAAAAAAAATACTAATGTTAATCGGCATGATTCTTCTTTGCACAAGATTACCATTCATAAAAAGAAAAAGTCTAGATCTGGCAATGGTAATAATAAAAAACACAGAAAGAAGCTTATAACGTTCCACAATATAAAAATATCGCCAGCTCACACATTCAAACCCTTCATGATTGAAAATTACAATTCAAGTAATACAACTGCTAAAAATTATTATAACTCTACAAACGTTATTCGCTATGAAAATGTAACCACGGCCGTACCTAGAGTAGATATTTTTTTGTCTAATTTCACTAGCACAAGTACAGAACTATCGATACGGTTGAATAGCACACAGGTAGACGAAAGTATTTATTTCATGGTAAATATAACTAACAACAGTGAAAATGAAACAGAGGACACACAGAAAACTGGAAATAGCATAGAAATGGATTATAAAACAGGGACAAATACCACTACTGACACACCACTAAACCTACGTGAAAAACGTGATACGACGTCAAAAAACTCATCTGCTGTTATAAAAAAGGCCAGTTCTAAGTCCTTAAATGTTATAAGTACAAAAAGCAAGAAGATCCTTGATACGTTAAAAAAAACTAATAATAGTATGTTGCAAGAATCCGAATTGTTATATTGGCCTATGAATACCTATAATAAAACATTCCCTCAAATTAAAAATATTAATGACATAATTGTAGAACAAGAAAATAAAAAAGCTAAGCTGAATATGACCAATGAAGCAATACGACGTAATCGTACAATGGCATTGGAAAAAGCAATATTTGGAAACGTTGATTGGAACGATGTAGATACCGTGGCACCGACATTCATTTCTTTTGTAGGTAAATACATAAATGGAATGTTAACATTTTGTTCTGAGAAAATTTGTCATTCTATGAAATGTAGTCATAAAACGTGTGTACATAGAACTTGTACCCCGGAATTAAGGTTCAATCACTTTGGACATTGCAGTGGGAGTGATATAACTGGTAAGTAAAACAAGTCCTTCATTGATATACATTAAAGTAAACTTTAATAAATAAAATATAATTATTTTATTTTTCAGATAGTGTAGTTTCAATGGAGTCTATAATGGATCTTCCCTCAAATGTAGCTTTTGAAATTGTAGACATATTGAAAGATAAAATGTTAGGAAACATATATGGTAAGGTAACATTATGCATTAATTCCAAATGCATCAGTTTTATGGCATCAAAGAAAACATTTATAAAACTCAAATGTTCAGCCAAAAATAGGAATATCACAGGACATTGTCCAAGTATTAAAAAGTATTAAGTTACTCAGTAGCCATTTACGAAACTGGGCTACTGTGTAATTAAATGTTTACAAAATAATCGTGTGAATGGATTACATGAGCTATTTACAAATTTTAAGTACTGATAAGAAACAGTGCAACTCCCATTTAGTGAGCATAACTTGCATTTATGAATTATGAAATTCTGAAGACTTAACATGAAAATGAATAATAAAGTGTGTAATTTCAATACGTATGTCGTTTTCATAGTATTTTCAAAAATTGTATCGCCACAAGTAAGTACAAATAATAAATAAGAAAATCGAATACATATTTAATATGTATTAATATTTATAATTGTTTTATAATCGGTTCAATGTTTTGTTAAATATTGTAGAGTAACTATGAAAAGTACATAAATCCGTGGAGTAATATAAAGCAACGGATTCCAAAGATTGTAAAGTTTGGATCAAATGGAGATTTCATAAAGGAGTATATACCTAAACAGCAATTCGTTAGCATTAAGAAGACCATGTCAGTTGCGGTAAACAATGTACTCTTAAATAGATTTATAAACAATGATGATACCCCGATCTGGAATTCAAATTATACGATAAATGAATTGAAAAACATTATTACTGAAATGTATGCTACTCTAAGACCTCCTGCGAGATTAAAAATTTTAATTAACTGTCCTAAATCAAAACAATTGTGTAGATTTCTGACATGTCCGAACATTAAAAAATACTGTACTTTATGTGAAGTTAAAACTAATAAGAAAAATAATAATAATACTACTTGTGAGAATTTTTCGACGCGATTGTTACTGAGATAGAATGTTTAATAATTTTGAAGTATTTCTTTAGCATAAATTCATCATAATATAAGACAAAATATGAATAAAAATTAATAAAAGCTCCATAAATGACCTTTTAGTTTTTATCATTACTTGTTTCAAAAACTCAATAGAGCAACTTATCTCGTTTACCTTAAAGATATGAGACATGGGGAAAAATTAAAAGGTTTTGTAGATGGTCGTTTGTTGCTCGTTAGGTAAACATTCCCGGTTTGTCTTATCTTCATACAGATAGGAGCATGGAACTCTGAGCCAGGTATATAAAGGGCAGTGAAACCAATTTTAACGTTTTGTTCCTGTTTGCAAGGCGTCGGTCGTATTAAACAATGCTATTTTCAAAGTGCGTGTTATCATTTTTTGTGTTGTATTTAGTACAAGCTACATTAAGTAAGCCAACTGAGAGTAAGTAAAGTTAATGTAAAATAATATTAAATTAATAGGATTTCAGTCAATTAGTATAATTGTACATTAACTCAACTAACACCTGTGAACGCTTACAGTAAATGTAGCAGAGGCTCGTGGTATTGGATCTACATTGTGGGGATGGATCACTTATCCTTTCTCTTGGTGGAGTTCAAATGAAGACGATAAGCCAATTACCGAACAACTTGTCGCATCTACTACATACGGACCATACGACAACATCGAGGTAGGCAAACACAATGTGACCGTTTGGTGCAACGACCAAACTTGTACGACGATGAAATGTGACAAACACGGTTGTAGAAATAATACGTGCAACATTTACGACACAAATTTGATTGGAGAATGTCGAGAGTATCATACAGATGTACAACCAGAAGAACCGATATCATCGGTCTCGTCTACAGAGTCTGTTTTAAAACCAATAGATGATAATAAAATCACTGAAGGTTTAACAAATGATGAGCACTCAACAAAATCTCCATATACAAGTACAACTGAGACAGTAGAGGAAAGTACAAAAAATCAAAACATTGCAGAGAGACCTTTGCAGCTTGAAGTTGTGCTATCGTCAAGCGTGACTGAGAAAGAAACTACAGTCTATAGTAATGACGAAGCTTCGGCTCTCAACAAACAGGTCAGTATTTCTAAAGAATAACATTGTGACTAATAACATTTTCTCAACGATAATTAGAAATAGAATTATACCTTACTTAAAGGCCTTCAAGCCAAGATACAATATACGTATTGCCGAATTAATAGGTAAATTATTACCACTCCCTAAACCTCAACTTCAAAATCATTTATTCAGTCAAACACTTCTGTATGATAAAACTAGATTTTTCATGATATCTTAATTTTTTTTCCAGACTTAACCACAACTTTGCAACCACCGACCAAACTATCTTTACTGGAAGATATAAAGCCGTTCATGGCATCTACATTAGAATATTTCACCACAAAGCTTATGAATAATTTGATTATGAGACTGAATATAGACTCGATATGTATAGATGGGATTTGTTACTATACATTGTGTGAACACATTAATTGTAAAGTTAGATATTGCAAATATAGTTTATTGAGTGATGTGGAAGAGTGTACATTTCAAAAGCCATCACAACTTCCATCTAAGCTGAAGTTGAAAATTCAAAGCAATAAAATTTATTTTATGAGAGAAGATAATCTTATAAGCGACAACAATGAAGACAATGAAATTAATTTTTTTAATAGAGTTTTAAATTAATAACAATTGTAATGCAACAGAAAACATTTTATAAATCTTTCCAAATGTTATTTAATTGAACTTAAGAATAAACAATTACAATACAAACAATTATGAAAAGGAATTTATACTTATAATTAAAACTCATTTGGGATTGATTTGTTTTTGTTTGGGAAACAAGTTTAAAATAAGTTAATCTTCTATAAGGCAATATATCTATAACACAGGCGAATTTTGATCCCCAAATAAATAAATATTCAAATATTTATAATAAAACTTATTTGTGTTTGTGATAAAATTTTTAATGTTGCGAAAGACATTTCAGTGCTGTAAAAATATTTTTTAACTGGAAAGTGAAGGATTGACCTAGTCTTTCAAAAACTAATCCTGGGCCTCATTCGGGCATGATTGTTTTAACTTAATATCAAAGAACATAATTTTTCCCGTCCCGTCTGGTCCGCGTGAAATTTTTTCTAGTTATATTTTCTTTAGATTTAAACATTAAACAACACAACAAGCAGTTAAATGCTTATCATGCTCAAATGTGTTCTTATATTAGAGAGGATAAAAAGTAGGCACTGTTGTCAAATTTACTTTCAGAGAATCGTATGAAACTTAAGGCTCAGTAAATCAAGAAGGTTTAGTTTAGAGTATAAGAAGTATTTTATTAATAAATCTAAGGAGCTAATACCAAACAGTGTATACCGTTAAGTTCAATACGTTTAAATTAAACTTTGTAATTGTATAAAACTTGATAAGCTGTCAAGATACAGCAAAAGCAATTTTCATCTAAAAGTGACAAACCGCCAACTTCTTTGCATATTTTCAACTCACAAGAATGTTTAAATTTTAATCAGACATTTGTTTCAGTGGCCTTTACCTTAATACCTTTGTGAATCATCTTCTTTGTAAATGTTAATCACCGTTTAAGATAACTTCTGCTTATGTGTAAGATATAAACTGCAGTTAGATAACGATGAGTGTGCCAGTTCTATGACGACGATGTTAAATACATTTATTTATTAGGGTTAATCATTGGTTTTTTGAAAATGACGTAAATAAATAAAATGTATAACAAATAAAAATAACTCTTTTAAATACAGGCAGTCCTTGACTTACGTCGTTTCAAGTTACGTCGAACAATGTTTTGGCACTATTCCTCAAGCATACGTCAATTGTTTCGATTTCCGGCATAGGAGAATTCACTTGTCGCGAGGTCAATATCCGTGGGTCGGCGTTCGTGGGGATGTCTCGACTTACGTCGTTTCGATTAACGTCATGTATTTCGAGAACCTAATATGGCGTAAGTACATGGACTGCCTGTTGTCCTAAATTTTTCCGTACTTCATCTAGTTCGCAATTCACTGAAGGAGAGCAAAGCGGATAGCTCACGAACACCGCGTGCGGATGCAGACAGGCTGGCTCCGGAGTCGTAGTCCCCCGCACGAACTTGACGTCTTTTGCGCAAACATGGGGTTAGTTTTACTTGAGTATTAAAGGAAGGCGTAATTTGTTTACGTTTTGAAATTTGATTTTGTTGTATGTTATTCTGATTTTTAAATACGCTAATCTAGTGTAGTTTAAATTAAAACTAACGAAAAATCGATTTGTTATTCTATAAACAAATAATAAGGCCTTTTATGATGAGGATGATGAACCTGTACATAAATTCGTATGTAAAATCTGTAAATAACAGTAAAATATTACAAATATTTAAATTACTTTATAATAATGAACTTTAAGTGATACCTGCATTATGTTATTTATCGTACATATCTACAAAGGTAGTAAAGACAAATACGACGTGTGTAATTAAAAAGTGACGAGACAACTCATAGAACTACGGAACAGATTGAACTAAACGAATGAAATGACGCGATTAAACTTAATGACAAGGTGACTCAAACTGAAGTCCTCAACCAAGTGAACTTGATGAACTAAATGAACTAGATTAGTGATATACTTCATATAGTACAAATGGACTATATCATTCTTTAAACTTCAGTGACGTATTTTGCGCATGCCTAACTAAACTACATTTGAAGTCAAATTAACATTTGGTGTCGGTGCCATGCTAAACTATTTTTATATAAACTGAATAAACGATTTTTGAATTTTATTCTTAGATAAGAAAAGATAGATTTATAATGAAATAAATTTGACAACAGTGTATGTATGTTAAATTTAGAGAAATATGCCAGAATCGACTCCACTGACTTTAGCGGTCCTTCCACTGATCGATGGGTCTAACTATTATTCAGTCATTTTAATAAAGTTAAAAGAATAACAAACATGTTTTTTTTTTGAGAAAATATTTAGTAATATAGGAGCTACACAAATTGATATATTAGATACCGTCCGTTTTACTTACTATGCTTAAATCATCCGAAATACTGTGTCATTTATTATATCTTTTTTAATTGTAAGTACCTATAAATTCAAGTTGAAGAACTTTCTGGGTTTTATTTTGAGGCTCCTTTGCGTCCACTATGAGACAAGTAGGTAAAACAAATGTCTAGTATTAGTAGCACTTCTAATTGTATTTTGGGTATAAATATTTTGATAGACCTCAAACATATATGCTGTTTTTTTGCTACAAATAGGGTAGTTAAGAATTTGATAATTTGTGATCAGAAACTTTAGTAATTTAGATTTGCACAGCTTTGAAACTAAATTATTGAATTATTTGGTGTGACGACATGTCAAATTAAACAACCTAAGAAAAATAATATTTTATTATTAAATTTGTATTTTACCGGCCCGCTTCGATGTGAAACATCCCTAAGGCTGTGAACGTCAAACGGGTTTACGCGGGGCGACTGACAGTAGCCGTCGCTCTCTTCCCCTGCTTCACTTCCTCAAATACCTAAACTATTGCTACTCATAGCGCTCTAGAGCAATATAAGACATGCCGACATATATGAGTAAATATTTTTTTCCCAGTTTGTTTTCTAGGTATCCGCTATTTAGTAAATCTAGTTAGTAAAAGCGACGTCTAGTTAGATTGATGGCCTGTTCAGACAAAGAACGTCCGCAGAGGGGAAGTAGTTATCTTAAACGGTGATTAACATTAATTTACTCCAAAGAAGATGATTCACAAAGATATTAAGAAAAAGGCTACCGAAACAAATGTCTGATTAAATTTTCAACATTCTTGTGAGTTGCCCTATAAAGTTTTATTCAATCACAAAGTTTAATTCAAACGCATTACAGTACACCGTACAGTGTTCGGTATTTACTATTTACTTATAGCTCCTTAGATTTATTTATAAAACACTTCTTAAGCTCTAAAGCTTATTTATTTACTCAGCATTAAGTATCAAACGATTCTCTGTAAAGTAAATTTGAGAACAGTGACTACTTTTTATTCTCTTTTAGTCAATATAGTCCAGGCAACGAATAGGTATAGAGGGAAATGCTTAGAACACAATTTTTGACTTCGTAGCTTTGTTAGGACTAGTTAGGAGGTAAACATATCAAAAGTCCCCGCCCGTAGCCCTTAAGCCGGGGGGAAGGGGAGGGATTGGGTCCAATTTTTAGGTTTTTCGCATATATCTCGGAAACTATGCATCCTAGCGACATAAAAGTGAAAGCTGATTAAATTTGCTACATGTCTTATTCAGTCAACTTTTTTGATATCTTGTATAGTTTTCGAGATATACGCGATAAAAGTCAGGAAGTAATTATTATGAATCGATAGATCTATGAATGGAAAAAAAAATGCTTCACATTTTTGCTCTATTTGACCGGATAACTCTTCAACAATGCCGCCCGTAAGGTTGTTGGTTCCACTAGTGAGCAGCATGCAGATTTCGGACAAGCCCGCTAAAACAAGGATGGAGCTGACATTGCCAAGCTCACCGATTGGCTTGAGAAATTTCCTCCCTTCCCAGAGACCAGAGACATTATCAAGTCACCAGAAATCCAGAAAGCAGCAGCGGTCTTTTCACACCCTTTCTCCACCACCGCTCAAGTACAAAAGGTAGGTGAAACCTGCATCTTAAGGTGGTATGGAGCTCCAGCGAAAGAGATTTCCCTCAATGCCTACAGGTACAAGTCATTCTTGAAATCAGTGGCCACCATCAAGCCTGATATCTCTTGTATTCCTGCCACCGAGGGAGCAGTAAAATAGCATTCCCAGGAAGTGGTGGCAATTTTTTTTCCATAATTACAGACTTTCAAGAGCGGATATCTCGAAAACTATACAAGATATCAAAAAACTTGACTAAATAAGACTTGTAGCAAATTTAATCAGCTTTCACTTTTGTTAAAGTCTCATGTCGCTAGGATGCATAGTTTCCGAGATATATGCCAAAAACCTAAAAATGGGACCTTCAATTCGCTAGTTATAACTAGCAAACCAGTGAACCAAATGTTCACCAAAAAAAAATGTATTTAATTAATTGCGAACTTCGGAGATTTTGTGTGGTTTCGTTTGAAATAGAAATCACGTGATTTCTCGAAAAACCCGAAGTGCTACGTTACCCACATCCGGTTTGTAGTCTTATCAGACTATTCTTAACTTATAACTTAAACATTCTCTAGATCTATCTCTTACGGTTTGGCCGCTGAAACAGCACCACGGACGGACGGACGGACGGACGGACTTGAATAGATAAGAGATTTTTACGTTCTTGTGTCCTGTCCGGTCTCTTGGTGTCCTCGGTTGTTCAGGGTACTTTTAATCTCCTCGTGTGCGTTAACCGATGCAGTTGTAAGCGATCTGCTTTGGCGGACAAAATAGTCCGCGCACAATTATCCCTCGTCTGCGCAGGCTATTATTATTACCTAGAAGTATTGCTTGCTAAGTGAGGGCACTGTAGCACTAGCCAAGTGTCGGATGACATCGTCTACAGTAATGGCGGCACGTCTAAGGAATTTGATTGCCCTTAGATTGGGACAAACTATTGAGTGCTCACTGGGTGCGGGCGGTGCAAGACTGGCCTTAGTTTTGGAGGATATTGTTCGCAGTACCAGTCGTGTCTAAGGACTCTGGCTACCCTTAGGACAAACAAATGAGTGAAATTTATAATTACCTGGTGCTGCAACTTCCTGAGTGCGGGTGGTGTAGCACTCGCTTCAGTGTCGGAGGATATTGTTCGCAGTAGCAGCGGCGTGTCTGAAGAGTCCGCCAATTCTGAACCCGCCTCGCTCGGCTCCGTACCCTCACCCGCCTGCCTACATTTTAGAAAATTATTTTTATTAAATTTTCAAGCAAAGGGCAATGGGCAAAACAGCTCTGCCAACAATGTAATTATTATGAATCGATAGATCTATGAAAAAATAACCTTTTTTATTATGACACCATAAAAAAATATCCTGGAGGTCAAAAGATATACAGGCATGTTCTATATTAGGGGTTAAGGTTTCCGCACATAGTCCTTAAAGAAGACCATCGTGTCTAAGTCATGGCGGCCGGTTACTCACATGGGCATATTTAAATAGCTAAATAAATTCATTCAAAATCAATAGTACTTTCGTTTTATAATATTAGCCATAATAATGCGAGTCATATCTACTATACAACCAGACACAAAATACTATACAACAAAGCCTACCGACCATCCTGCTTGCTTGCTGCTTGCACTTACTGAGACGCCTCAAAACGTTTAACAGGGTAAGGGTATGGGGGTTGAAGGATGTGATATTTGCAGTTGCCGTTCCAACTAGTCTACTCGTATGCAGTCCTGTCTTACTTTTCGTGCGCTCCCTGTTACTTCATTGATATTTAACTAAAACACTTTGGAAATAGGAACACGATTATCATCACGTACGTCATTATAATCGTACGGACCAATAAAAAAATCTACGGACCTATTTACATGCTCCTTCTTTTACTTGATTTAGGCTGAATGAAAAAATCGTGCTTGCCACAAAAATCTGTGGCTTTTGCGAGCCAAAATAGATTCGAGGCATACGAGGTCTAAGCTCTATTACTTCTATATATTGATAAATGAAGACGAGAATGGAATAAATGCATTAAAACATTATTACTTATTTCATTCATTATGCTCATGCTAAACGGGAAACTGCACTTTAGGCTGCTGTGCTCATGTTATGGTAGTCATTTGGTTTTTATGTCTGGCAAGACATGACGAGGACATTCACAGACCGGCTCTCTTGTTAGACACTGTGGATGAAGATTATTAAAAATATTAAAATAATGTTTCATAAATAAAACGTTCTATGAGCGTTGCTTGATAGCTTGTACGCGATTAAACAGTCGAGTGATGGCAACCGTACTGCTATTTAACTACAAATAAGTCGAATGAAAGAGGTTCTACCGACTTATAAACACTAATGTGTGGCATGACGGCATACTGATATCATTACATGACTATTATATCATCCACATGAGCTTTGCGATTATTCGATCCGGCTCGACCGGAGGAATACCACGACCTCACAGAATACCGGCGGGAAACAGTACTTTGTACTGTATTTCACCGAGTGAGTGAGGCTACCGGAGGCCCAACCCCCCCCCCCCCCCCTTTCTTCATGATGGCGCAGTTAAATAGGATAATACCCCAGGGGGGTACCAGCTGTTTTCACGCTGGAGAATCCCCCTCTGAACGTCCATACCCAGAACTGTCTCCTTCTGGACGTGGACGTCGAGGCTGCCCTTCGTATTCTGGGGAGCAAGCGTCATACGTCACCCCCTGCCATGTTTAACGTGGATTTCTGCAACATCAGGGGCTTACACTCCAACTTTAATGTTGTCACTACCACATTCAGACAGTGCAGCCGGCCTTGCTTTTTTTGACTGAGACGCAGATATCCTCTCCAGCCGACACCTCCTACCTCCAGTACCCTGGTTATACTTCGGAACATTCCTTTGTACCACGGGCTGGGGTATGTGTGTACGTTAAAGTGGGTATCAGTTTCCGTCGCCTCAGCAACTTTGAAGGTAGGGACCTCTCCATCTTATGGTTGCGTGTCGACGTCGATGACCATCCCCGCGTCTACGCCTGTCTCTACAGGTCCCATAGCGGAAATGCCGAAACTGACCGACTCTATGATCACGTCCAGGTGGCTACAGACTCCGTGCTTCAGCAGATCCCATCATCTGAAATTGTGATCCTTGGCGATTTCAATGCCCACCGCTCCGAATGGCTTGGATCGCCCACTACCGATCATGCAGGCAGATCTGCTCACGACTTCGCCTTGGCCTATGGTCTGACACAACTGGTCACCTCGCCTACGCGAATCCCAGATGTAGAAGACCATACACCTTCACTGTTGGACCTCCTGCTGACTTCACATCCGGATAATTACAAAGTGTCCATAGATGCCCCTCTTGGCTCCTCGGACCATTGTCTAATCCGGAGTATGGTACCACTCACTTACTCACCGCGGCCGCAATTTGATGGCTGTCGTCGTGTGTGACACTATAAGTCAGCAGACTGGGATGGGATGCGCACTTTCTTTTCATCCTACCCTTGGGGCCAGGTTTGCTTCTCGCAGAATGATCCCAACGTCGCTGCCGATTCTGTCGCCGATGTTGTCCTTCAGGGTATGGAACGTTTTGTTCCTTCCTCTGTGGTTCCCATTGGTGGCAAATCCCAGCCTTGGTTTGGTCACTACTGTAAACTGGCATCTCGCCAAAAACAGATGTGTTATCAGGCCTGGGCAAACGCAGCGGCGGTCGGGGATAACAACACTAGCGATCTCAAAAAGAAGTATAACTTGGCCTCCAGGTCCTGCAAAAGAGTAATTGCCAGAGCGAAGTCAGAGCACATTAGCAGCATTGGCGAGAGATTAATAAAACTTCCCTCTGGAACACGCGCTTTTTGGGCTCTTGCCAAGGCTATTGAAGGAAATTTTTGTAAGCCATCCCTTCCACCCATGCACAATGGCGACGAATCGATGGCTCATACTGCAAAAGAGAAAGCGGATCTTTTATGCTCACTCTTTGCGTCTAACTTGACTTTAAATGACAGGGGATACATACCGCCGACCATCCCGCGGTGTGAGAGCTCTATGACGGAGATCCGGTTCACACAAAGCTTAGTACGTAAAGCACTCTTTGCCCTTGTCATCCACAAGTCAGCGGGCGGACCTGATGGAATCTCACCAATTGTGCTGAAGACCTGTGCTCCTGAGTTGGCTCCGGTACTAACGCGTCTTTTCCGGCTCTCCTACTGTTTAGGTGTCGTTTCGAACTCATGGAAGACAGCTTTAGTGCACCAGATTCCTAAAAAAGGCGACCGCTCACTCCCTACTAATTATAGGCCTATAGCCATCACCTCTTTGTTCTCCAAGATAATGGAGTCTATTATAAATTGCCAGCTCCTGCGGTACCTAGAGGACCACCAGCTGATTAGTGACCACCAGGTTTCCGTCAGAGTCGCTCGGCTGGTGATCTACTAGTATACCTGACTTATCGTTGGGCAAAGGCGATACAGACCAAGGGGGAAGCATTGGCGGTCGGTCTGGATATCGCGAAGGCCTTCGATCGGGTTTGGCACAAAGCGCTTCTTTCGAAGCTTCCTTCTTATGGGCTTCCTGAAAAGCTGTGCGGTTGGATCACTAGCTTTCTTGCGGACAGGAGCATCAAGGTCGCAGTCGACGGTGCAAGCTCGGACTCCAAATCCGTAAACGCTGGTGTTCCACAAGGCTGTGTGCTATCGCCTACGCTGTTTCTTCTTCATATCAATGATATGCATCAAATTGATGGCATTCATTGTTATGCAGACGATGGCACGGGTTATGCCCTATATACCGGCCGCGCCTACATTTCACGGGAAAACGTCATCGAGTGCCGGAACAAACTTGTGTCTGAAGTCGAAACTTTGTTAAATCGAGTAACGAATTGGGGCCGACTTAATCTAGTCCAATTTAGCCCTACGAAGACACAACTATGCGCGTTCACCGCAAAAAAAATACCATTTGTCGTATCTCCTCTTTTTGAGAACACTCCTCTAACTGCCTCAGCTAGTATTGGAATTCTTAGCGTTGACATATCGAGCGACGTCCAGTTTCGGGATCATTTAGAGGGCAAGGCCAAATTGGCCTCTAAGAAGCTTGGTGTGCTCAATAGATCGAGAATGTACTTCACACCGGCACACCGACTGCAGCTTTATAAGGCACAGGTTCGGCCTCACATGGAGTACTGCTCTCATCTTTGGGCGGGGGCACCCCAGTACCAGCTTCTCCCTTTGGATCGCATCCAGCGCCGAGCGGCTCGAATCGTCGACGACCAGGACCTTTCCGATCAGCTTGATCCTTTGGCTTTGCGTAGGGATGTAGCATCGCTCTGCATCTTCTATCGCATTTATCACGGGGAGTGTTCTGAGGAATTGTTCGGATTAATTCCAACTGCTGCATTTCGCCATCGTACATCGCGACAAAAATTTCATCCCCATCATCTTGATGCGTGGCTATCCACAACCGTGCGTTTTTGTCGAATTTTTTTACCACGTACGACAAAACTGTGGAATATGTTGTCGCCAGCAGTGTTTCCGGACCGATACGACCCAAAAACCTTCAAAAAAAGAGCGTACTCCTTTCTTAAAGGCCGTCATCGCATTTGTGATACTCCTGGTATTACAAGTGTCCATGGGCGACGGTGATCACTTACCATCAGGTGAGCCGTCTGCTCGTATGCCCCCAATAACATAAAAAAAAAAACAAAATTATGTCTAATGCTTCACTTTCCTGTGATTTTTAGCCTATCCGCCTTCGAAGGCCAATTACAACAAAAATAGGCTGATTAAGAACATTTTTTTCATGTTTTTGGTAGTTTAGAAGCATGTGGAGTTTTCAATTTTAGCCAGAAGCTATGGAAACTCCTTTTTTGTATTTTTAAATTGAAGTGAATGTTTGAATAAATCCTACTAAAAACTAAAGTTCCAACATTCAAGCCATTTTTGAGTAACTTTAAGTAATTTCAGGTTGCTGAGTTATTTTTTTTTAAAAACAACATTCAAGTCAATTATGTCAGATAAAAAAGACTGCAAAATACCTACTACGAAAAAAGATATGAATTTTTGAAACCTCGCTGGCAGAAATCATTAAAAATACACAAAAAAAAATATAACTCGAATATTAAGAAAAATCGCGGCACATACATGGGGTATTTTCGGATACCCCAAGGTGCGAGGAATCCAAAAAAATGTAGACATCACTAATTGGACCACTCTGTATGTTGAATAAAACACACAGCGTTGCAGCAAGGGTTTTGCTGGTGAGTGAAGACCCCTATGAATTTGAAAAGCTGTCAACGCATTACAAAGGAAGGATGGTGGTACCGCTGGTGAGTTTGAAGCGCAAACTGTAAGTAAAGTCCTATATTCACTTTAAAAGTTAACATAAAAACACTAAGTTACAAGACTGCTTCTTCACTGAACGCGGCGTGTTTTATTCAACATATAATATCTGTTTTGTTGTAGTGTATATTGACGTAGCTGGGGGCCACGGCGCAGGGCGACGAGTCAGGCGCGCGCCGTGCCGACGGCGCCGTAGACAAAGTGGCACCGCCGGAGTACCACCTGTATATAATTCAGTCCGTTCTCCATGTACTCACTGGATGAAGTAGTGTATATTGACGTAGTTGGGGGCCACGGCGCAGGGCGGCGAGTCAGGCGCGCGCGGGGCCGACGGCGCTGTGGGAAGAGTGCCACCGCCAGAGCTCTCCTCAGTGCTGGATGCTGTGCCACCTGTATATGAATTCTAATACTTATCTCTGTCTAAGACACAGTAGCCAAAACACCTAACAATAAGTGTTTTGCTAATGTGGCAGACAAGAATCAAGTGACACATTTTTAAAAAAAAGTTTTTTTTGTTAGGGTTCTCATTTTATGTGTTAAAATGTTTCTGATATAAAATGTTCTGTAGTAAGCAAAATGGCGAAAGTTTACGATGAGATTATACAAATAAATTTCTAAATGATTATTTTAATATTAAGGCAAATTCTAATTTGCTAAGACGGGAAAAACTTGAATATTTGTTAAAATAAATCAGTAATAAATTTAATGGTAGATACTATGCTATGGGTTTATGGTTCTGTACCCAAATGATATAATAAGAGTGGATGCCTCTTGGTGGCAAAACGGGCCGACCGCCCAGACGCTGTTCAGAAGTGCCAAGAAATGCTTTTTTTTATTCTACCACTCGGTTTGCAATTTGCGCTTTATGATGGGCAACTACGGAACCATACACTACGCGTAGCCTGACACGTACTTGGCTATTTTTTGACAATAAATATCGGCGAAAAAAGTAGTAGTTACGTAGTGCATCTCAAGCTAAGTACGGACTATTTGTAGCTACGCCTACTCTTCGCGTAGCTAAGAGTAAGGACATGGCATTCAGTACACGCCGTCCGTACGTAACTTAAAGCTGTCATCATCTGCCTATGAATGTCCCCACTGCTGGGGCACGGGCCTTCCCTATGTATGAAATAGGGAAATTGGGCCATGACCCACTACGCGGGCCCAGTGCGGATTGATAGGTGCTAACGACTGCAGACGCAGCCGGGACCAACAGCTTAACGTGCCTTCCGTAGCACGGAGAAGCTCGAGATAGCAGATTATCGGTTACCCATCCAATGATGGACCTGCGAAAGTTGCCTTACGTTTTCAACGATCGCAGTCGATCGCGCTAATCACTTGCGCCATAGAGCTTTTCCTCAAAGTTGTGGAAAGGAGTTATTACGCATTTTGACAAACCTGCTTGAATGTATACGTATTCTCCATCATTGATGTCAACGGGTACTTGATCATAGTAAGGTTCATCTTCAGTAACAGGCACGGCGGCAGGTATGCTCTCCAGCGATAACGGGGCAGACTTGTCAGCATCCGCCTCCAGATCTGGTGTTATCGACGTCACTTCCTCGTCTATAGAGCGCGGGGTCGCAGCGCCCCCCGAACGTTTCCGTTCCGACGACAACGAATTAATCGATTCATAACTCTTCACCTGTGCAATATGTTCTATGTTAATAAAATAAATAAAAATAAAAATTATTTATTTCGGACAACTGCCACCCATATAACCCATTAAAAAAGGATATGGTTAAAGGATATATTAAAGTCCTTAAGTGGACCATTGTACGTGCACCTGTGCAATATTATTTTTGTAAAATTTGATCGAGAATAAAGTCTAAATTAGGTTACTTCGTAAAAATAATATATTATTGTTTACTAAGAAATATTAGAAGTGAAGACAGAAACCGGTACAGTAGATAACTTATCCCCACCATAAATATGGCCAATCAATGGCACATCTTTATTATATCTCTAATAAATTCTATAATTTTATTATTTATCATAAGTTATGAGGTTGAAACAGATACATACTCTTTCACTGATAGAGGGTGTGGATGCTCGACTGGCTATTGATTCACGAGATTCTGCATTACGGATTCTTCTACTGAGTGAGGACGGTGGACTGTCATCAACGAGACCGGATTCCGGCAATGAAGCACCTCTTTTACTGAACACTTTTGGTGGAGGTCTGAAACAAATTTAATAAAATTATGAATTGTTTTTGCCTTAATTACTCAGTATTATAAGACAAATACTGTAACAAATTATGCTATACATAGTAAGCATTAGAGGCTACAGTTGTGACAAAGATATCACAGAAAACTCAGTAAGTCAAGTATAATAATAATATAATGTTTATTCACCTAAATAATAAGGATAAAGACCGAACGATAGCATATATTATACTACATAGGTAAGAATAAAATAATGATTTGTATCATAATTATATTATTGAATTACTAGCGAACTTCGTACCGCCATAAAAATTGGGGTTGGTAGTAGAACGGCTAAAATTTAGGGTTGTATGTATTTTTAGTACCACATTATAGAAACAATGTTAGGGGGTGGACAACCCTTATCACTTAGGGGTATGAAAAATAGATAGTAGCCGATTCTCAGACCTACTGAATATGCAAATAAAAAATCTTAAAAATCGGTCAAGCAGTTTCAGAGGAGTATGGTAAGATTAAGATAAGATTGCTAATGCCTGCCTAAAGGATGAAATAGGGAAAGCTAATTATGACCTATAACCCACCACAGGGGCCATGGCCTTGGCCTCTGAATCCTGGCTGCATTTAAAGTTGCTTGTGCAGGAGTCATACATATTTTTGAACACTAATGACTTCAAATGCAGCTGGGACTTACAGAATTACATAACTTTCGAAATATGAAGGGGCTCATGATTTTTGTTCACCCATCATATAAATCCCTATTTCTAAATAATACCGGGTGAAAAAACCCTTGAAACAGCTCAAGCCCACGTATTATTAATCATTATACAATCAAAACAAGAAAAAAAAATGCTGTGAAACTGTATTTTTTTTTGGTGTTAAATATTAACTGTGTTCACATTTTGCTACGTTTTTAATTGTATCGTGACAAAACTATGATCTTTTCACATCACTGACAACAAATCTTGAGGAACAGGATATATCACACTAAGATTAAATAATAAGAAAAGAGTGTTTTCTACAAAATTCATTTCGGTTGAAACGTTCACGACACGTCACCATTTTTCACGGAGCGCGTACTTCAAACTGTTGTATTAAAATCTAAAGTTCAGACAACACTGTATTTTTATTTACAACTCCATCTACACATTTTCCGTTTCTAAAGCGTGCTAATGAGCAAAAAATTTTATTGAGCTATTATTCATTTTTCGAAACAATTTAAGTAGTATGAAATATTTAATTTTGACCTAGAGTTGAATTTTAACACATGTGTAATCTTTAAACGTACCTAGTTATGAAGTACTTTTACGTGTTCACATTTTTGAGGTTTCACTTCTATCGCATGTGAACAGCATATTTCCTTTTATTTATTCTTTTTTAAGCCATACATCTTAAAGTTTAAGTCAGTCGAAATACATTGAGTGTTTACTTTTAAAAGCCATTTTTTGATACACTATACTTAAAATATTGATAATGTTTCTTTGGACAGAAATTAAAGGCTTACGCAGACCGGGACGGCATGGCAAGGGATTTTGCCGTGAGTCAGCGCACACTGGCCGCTTAGATACCGCGGCATTCCAACACTAAGCCACGGCATGCCACGGCGTGCTGCGGCACGACAAAGCACGCTTCAGCGACTCCTACTGCCCGATACACTTTTAGTCTTCAGTTGCGTTTGATCGAGTGTTGGTGTGCCTCAGTTTTAAAATGGTAGATTGGGATTTGGTGTTGATATCGATTACTGCAAATGAAGAAGTAGGTGCATAGGCTGATATAATAGGGATAGAAGAAGATTTTGGGTTTCTAATCTATGGAAAGAAAGGGAATCAAAGGGTGAATTCCCCGCTTCTCTACCCCCGCCGCCGCACCCCGCAGTATATCACTACGAGCGCCGGAGTCCGTGGCAAGCCGTTGCCTACCGCAGTATGCCATGGCATCCCGCCACGGGAGCCTGTGGCACGTCTTTTAATGCCGTGCGATAAAATCCCTTTCAATGCCACGGCATCACTTTAAAGCATATCAATTTATGTCGTATTTCTGTAACAGTACGGTTGAATGTCCATTAGTAAAAATTTAAATCCCTCGCCATGCCGTCCCGGTCTGCGTAGACCTTAAGAAATTAAATCCGTCGCCATGCCGTCCCGGTCTGCGTAGGCCTTAAGAAATAATGTTTAAAAATTGCTTCCACAAAAACCTTAAAAAACATATTTCGACTTTGACCTTCAATAACTTCATAACTATTATTTCCCAGGTATAGTATATTCTTAAGACAAAAATGATTGTGATAATGACTATGTGGTTTAAGCTATGTCTAAGGTCTTTTTACACCTTGTATTTACGATGTTATTAAAAAAACCAGTAATATAAAATATGAAAACTATTTAGTACAGTCAATCTGTAGGTTGAGTGGTGAAAAAAAAACCTAAAGGGTAAGTCTTGTTTTTTCTGTTGCCAAATGACGTCAGTAAGCCACCTTGGCGATGGGCATGTTCAACACGTAGGCGTTTTTTGAAAAACTCAAAAAAACAGTCAAAATTTTTTTTAAACGCATTTTTCTTGTTTTGTATGCATTAATGTAGAGGGCGTTGAGTACTACAATTTATGTCATTGTTGCAATCTCGTACAACAAAAAATGCACATTGTAGGTGGCGCTAAAGTCTCAAAAAAAGTGTTTTTTCACTTTTTCACCCTGAAAATATCATTTTAATGGAAAACTTGAAATGGAAAAGTTGTTCCGCACATAATTACCAACAACTTTTGTATAAACAATTTTTTTGTATTACTTACCGTTTTCAAGTTATAAATCGCGCAGGTATGAAAAATCCAATAGAGCGGTTTTGGGCAGTTCAAGTACATATTTGCAGTGCACATTTCAATGTACGATTTTACTATTTTGATTTGACGTCATTTGGCAACAGAAAAAACAAGACTTACCCCTTAGGTTTTTTTTTCACTGAAACGATATTTTTTTCGACAGATTGACTGTACTATAAATACTACACAAAATCTAATAACTCACTTTGGTGGGACTTTTTTCTTGGCTATAGCAGCCGGATCAATCAGACTGCTTTCAGGAGATTTCAGTGCCTCTTCAGCTTTCTTAGCAGCATTCTCAGCTAATTTCAGACCATTGACTTCAATAACGGTTACAAAATCACCTGCTTGTGATGTAGGACGGTTTTTGGTTTGAATTGGACTTGTTTTTTCTACTAAAAAATAAAAGTACATAATGTTAATACATTAAGTTTTCAAAAGCTCATTTATATCATGTCTACAGTTAAATTGTAAGAAAATCTATCAATAAATTCTACTGGTAACTGGCTTTTGCTGATGTACACTCATGTGGTTATATTGGTACCCACCTAAGGTTAAATATCAAAAATCAAATATAAATATTCAGAGCTACTATTTCAACCTAGAGGTGGCTAGACAATTTTTTAATGATAATGATGATTTATTTCCAAATATCACAAAAATTTTACAGAGTTCTAGCCCCACAATATGTTTAATAATATGTTTTATTTGTTACAGGATAATTAATTAGTTTTGGTATTGTTTAAGAAAATGACCATTTAATTAATTAATCTATATTTTAAACTATCCAATAATTTAAGATATTATTTATATTTATAAATGTTGACTCAAATATTAGATTAACTTCATGCTCTAGAAAATTTACATCTAATTTAAATTATAGAATTTAAATTAAGACCTTAACCAGGTTGACATGCATGAATGAGCAATAAACTATTATTATTAAAATCATATTTTAATAAAATAAAGAAAAATTTACTGACAAAATCATAGAAAAAATGGTGATTTAATCATTGTATGAAGATTCAATCTTTTTACAACACAATTGTTCTAACTATATTTCAACAGTCCCACATTAAAGCATCTGACTGTACAGGTAAAAAATTAAACAATTAATCAAAATGTAAATGGGATTATTCATTACCACTACTTTCTATATTACTTTCAGTCCTTTGAACCACTTCACTATTACATCTCCTCCTAGCTGCTTCAGCTGCTAAATTTGAAGAAAGCTCATTGATGCATTGATTTACAGAGCTTCTTTCACCAAGACGCTTAGGCTTGTTTCTTAGCTGCACATCTTCACATTCTGCAATTTCTTCATCACTTTTATTACTGCTATCAATACTGGCTTCACTCTTTTTTGACAGTGAATCTGTGTTTGAACCCTAAAAAAACAGTATTGTTAAATTATTGTAAATCATAAGTCTCTTCAATAACACTTTTCAGTATCTAATATGCTTTTATTTTAAAAGATACCAAAAATATCAAGAATATCTTTTATAATAATTTTTTAAGAGAGAAAGATATAGATGGAGATATTAATATTTACATATATATTAAAACAATCTAAAAACCTTGAGAATGAATTGTGTTCATTTCAGACTATTAACAGTAAATGTGTTGTAACCTGGTACCAGGATATATGTTAATTAGTCCAACAATCACTCATTTATAACTCTTTTAATGACACAATATGAATCATACTAATGTGAAGGGGTTAAAACATTTCACATACAACAATATTAAATACCCCAGATACACCAACACAAACAAAATCATGCCCAAAACCTGACCAAAAGGTAAATTGGATGATTCACAAAATGATCGCATAGTCAAAAACAATATAAAGCATTATTTAAACATTGAAAGTCACCTTAATTGCATACTGCATAAGGTCTTAATTAAAATGCATGAGTTAAAGAGTTATAACAGTTCAAAATGCAAGCTCCTAAAATTTTAGGACTTACTGCTATAAGCGGAAGAATACCTATAGAACTTATTTCTTTGACTTTACTTGCAATTTTGAATGAGCATGCTTGCATGCTTTAGCTGGTACGGACCATGAGGAAAAGAGAAGGCTATATTACCAATCATGCATTTGAATATCACAAATATTTTCTATTAAATCAATTTATAGTAGGTACTAGAACAAAATTTACTTCAAAAATGTTAAATTAACAAAGATTGATTAGATAACTGTTGAAAAACGACACTACATATTATAACTATTTTTTTCATTTGTTTTCACAGAGCTCTGCAGCAACTTGACTTTTCAATGGTCCGCGAGTGACTGTGAACCAAGTGCTTGAGTGGTGCTCAAGCAATTCTTGATTGGGACACATTATAAGCACACATGGTGTTCAAGGGTATTTAATAACATTGTTCAAATATTTATTCTTTTAAAACAATGCAACACAATATCTGATAGTTTTGTCTTAAAGCTTAAAAACTATTAGATGCAGTTCAAACACATTTCAATTACAAATTACAAGCAACTGTTATTTCTTACGCTTCATAGACTATTTGTGCTGTTATGGTTGAATTTGTAATTTATGAGATTGTTAACATCACATATAAGCTTATACTATTTTCACAAAATAATGATATTAAGCTTAGAATAAATAAATAAGGTTTTCAGCTTGAACATGGTATGAGTATAATATTTTTACATATTTTTTGTGTTAAATTAAAATATTTGTAAGAACTTGTCTGTGAAGCATTTTACAGAAAATAAATACAGTTTATCAATTTGTAACTGACTTAAAGAAGGCAGAGGTTCTCAAATTGGGTAGTATGTTTTTAAACAATTGTATAAAAGCAATATTTGCAAGAAACAATGTTGTTTGAATGAATACATTAAAACCAATACTATTAGCTTAAAATATGCCATGCCATGTCTTAAAAAGTTAACTACTTATAAAAGGAGGAAGAAGATATGACTGATAAGGCACAAATATATTATTATCTTTATCTATTCTTTAATTCAGTGACTGCAAAGCATTGAATGTGCGGTAAAACACTAGTTCATAATATATAGTACCGCTACTATAATATATTTTTAGATATGGTTATTATGGTTTCAGTCTTACCTGCTTGCTATCTGAAGCCTTATCATCAGGATCAATCACGTCAGCTTCTGAGGGCGGCGCCCCTTTGATATTTTGCGCTGCAGCTTTGTGTTTCTCCACATCTGACAGTAAAGTCTCTAAATACTCAACATAAAATTCTTCCTTCTCCAATTCTTCTCTAAGTATAGCCACTTTCTGTTTGTGTTTAGCCAAATTGGCCCTGACATCTTCTTCCCAAGCGGCTGGTAAAGCACTCTCTGGAAATCGTTGCACCCACACACGCTGAAAATCTCCAAAGACGCTCATCTCTCACAAAACGATTTCATGTCCAATTTATGTTAGGAGTTAATTTTTTTTAATATTTATTTTGTTTTATACAATAGAAAAGACGTAGGTATCCGAAGACACTGTCATACTCACAGACTACCACAGATTAATAACAGCAGACCACAGACACAGAACCACAGAGAAATAAAGTCCTCTACGCACTATTCATCTTGTTCGATCCGGAGTGCAGGACGACGCTATACACGTACACTAGAGCGCATTTTGCGGCCTAAGGGTACGGCCAGAGTGCACTCAGATTCAGATTCAGATTCAGACTCAGAAAACAAGCACGAGAAATATACATTGTAGTTTAAGCAGGTTGCCTGCGGCCACTATGGCCACCCTGCTTTAACTACACTGTTTATTTCTCGCGCTTGTTTTCGGAATCTGAATCTGAATCTGAATCTGAGTGCACTCTGGCCGTACCCTAATGCTTAACGATGAATGTTTCAACTACAGCAACGCTTGGCGCAATCGAGCACTCTCAAAAGTAATGTTTTCGTGTGATGCGTGCTATCGATACCAACTACTTCATTGTTTTAAACTCGGAGTACTCGATAAATCTTCATCATCACTATCATCTGGGTAAGATGATTCAATTAAAAAGTATATAATTCTTTTAGAACCCATTTTAAAAAAATTAAAAAACAAAAATATGTTAAAAAAATATCAAAATCCAAATTACTTATAATAACCGTAAATAATTTTCAAGCAATTATTATGTATATTACTTTATTTACACATTAATAATATTATTGCTAACTATATGAATATTTATTTTTCAACACTGAACTTAGCGCACTCTGCTGGTGCATTTGAAAACTAATCCACGTTCCAATTAAGTATCAGCATAATTCGGCATTGTGCACCACTGAGTCGCATTGTGCTCTGTAATTGGAAAACTACCTGTAACTTCATCTCTTATGTGTATAGCGCTGTTCCGTATGCTGGCTCCAGAAGTTGGATATCTCTTATTCACCAGGAGCCATCCTGACATTTTTTTTTGTAATTTTTTATACTTATTTAAAGTGGTAGTTTTCCAATTACAGAGCATAATGCGACTCAGTGGCGCATAATGCCGAATTATACTGATGTTTAATTGGAACGTAAATTAGTTTTCAAATGCACCAGCAGAGAGCGCTAAGTTCAGTGTTGAAAAAAAAGTCAATGTTTGTACCTTCATCCATACTTATATTTATTTTTTGAACACAGATTGAATTAACTTTGTTTATTTAAAAAAAAGCTACAGTGAAACGAAAGCTTTATAATTTTTTCGACAATGTATAATATTACTAATGATAATAAATAAATAAAAATTTCGATCAATGCCAACTTAAAGAAAAAACACTTGTTAATTTTCTGTCACTGAGTTGGTACGATTGCACGTATCGCACGAAAACATTACTTTTGAGAGTGCTCGATTGTGCGAAGCGTTGCTGTAGTTGAAACATTCAACGTTAAGCATTATGCCGCATAATGCGCTCTAGTGCTGTAATTGGAAAACTACCTGTGTCACAATGGTATCGATTCTGACATGATTCACTACACCTAAACTTAATTTGACAACAGTGTATCTTTGTCATTCTCTATATAGAATGAAAAGGAGCTTAAGTGCAACTTTTTACCCTGATGTTTCAATTTTGACATCAAAGTATGAACCTAATGGTGTCAAAATTCAAAATTCAATATCGTTTATTCAGTCTAGGCTGTTACAAGCACTTGTGAATGTCGAAAAGCTACGCCATCGGTTCGCAAATCTACGGCGGGAGACCTTGTACTGAGAAGAACCGGCAAGAAACTCAGCAAGGGCTGTTTTTTTCTCCCTGTATTATATACAGAGTCGTCAAATTGAAAAATGACTTCAATATGAGGTAACTCATAAAGTCACTTTTCATTACAAACAAAAAAAAATGCAAATAATATAAAAATTATGACTATAAAATAAAAAATTAAAATATGTAAAAAAAATGGTTTAAAAAAGTTTAGGAATGACGTGTCCTACCGCTTAGGCAAAAAGAAAATAATAATAATGAACGATTAAAGTTTAGAACAACGATTAATAGTAGTACCCAGTGAATTAAGAGCAGACTCATCTCCGCTGGCAGCACCCGTTCACGAGCATGACGCATGAACCAGCCATCGCTTCGCTCAACCATTTTTTAGGGAACGCAACGACCCGCCTCACACGACACCACCGAAGAGATTTTTAAGAGAGCATGACTACTCATAACCACACATGGATACTATGTTACTAAAATAGAAAAAAAAAATACATATAGGTACCAGTGTACATTATTATAACAAACTATAAACACAACGGCAGGACACATGCATGTGATTACCTAAACACTGTTGTCGACCCTGGCAATACTCTCCCAACCCAAAACCAATCAAACATTAGTCCCCCCCTTTCAGTCTGTATAGAGAATGACAAGGATACACCACTGCAAAACCAAGTTCAGGTCTAGAAAAACATACCAGAATCCACACCGCCATTAAATCTTTATCAGAGAAATAATATATGTTCACTTACATTTTGATTGCTGTGTCACACAGTATAAATACAAGTTGTGTAATGTAAAATACAATCAAAAATTAATAATAATTATCATTACAATAATAAAGTAGTATAGAGCAGACTCATCTCCGCTGGCAGCACTCGTTCACGAGTATGACGCATGAACCAGCCACCGCTTCGCTCAACCATATTTTAGGGAACGCAACGACCCGCCTCACACGACACCGCCGAAGAGATTTTTAAGAGAGCATGACTACCCATAACCACTAAAACCAATCTGCAAAATGGTTACTTAGAGTTAAGGTAATTTATCTGTACGACACTGCAAACAAATACAAAACAATTTTGCAGTTACAGCCATGCAGTTTTGTCATTCAAGTATTCTTTAATAGTATAATAGCCTTTCTTAACTAAACAACTTTTAATGTGACATTTGAACTCATTTATGGGTAACTCAAGAACAGCATCAGGAATTTTATTGTAAAAATGTATACCTTATAGTAATATAAGTTATTTACGGGATTGTTACCATGTACCTTGTTTTTAGCGAGTTTCCGATATTTCGGCACTGTTGCAAGCGCCATGATCACGGAGTAACTGAAGTAATTGCGGGTAGGCTGTTATTGGCAGACATATCGGTCTACCCTCCGACGAAGTCTTTTATTGCGACCCGTACCACTGTTCACATCTCATGAGAATGTGAACAGTGGTACGGGTCGCAATAAAAGACTTCGTCGGAGGGTAGACCGATATGTCTGCCAATAACAGCCTACCCGCAATTACTTCAGTTACTCCGTGATCATGGCGCTTGCAACAGTGCCGAAATATCGGAAACTCGCTAAAAACAAGGTACATGGTAACAATCCCGTAAATAACTTATATTACTATAATGTTAGTGACCATGAAAGTTTAAAACAATATAATGTATACCTTGACCCATAAAAGATCGGTAAAGCTTCTGTAACCTGTAGGCTGGCAATGCAAGCTTGTTTCTATTCCTAGTATTAAAATTGTGTACGTTACTGTGTTTGGTATACAAATTGATATTATTTTTAACGAGGAGTATGCAATTGTAAATGAATTGAGAAGCAACAGTCAAAATGCCAATTTCTTTAAATTTTTCTCTAAGAGATGTTCGGCTACTCAATTGATAAATAGATCTCACAGCTCTTTTTTGTAAAATGAAAATACTTTCAATATCAGCTGCTGTTCCCCAGAGTAAAATGCCGTATGATAAGATACTATGAAAGTAACTAAAATATACAGTCCTGGCAGTATCTATATCAGTAAGTTGTCTTATCTTTCTTACGGCATAAGCTGCTGAACTAAGTTTACCAGCCAAAAGCGTAATGTGATGACTCCATTGCAGTTTTGAGTCTATCGTTATACCCAAGAATGTAGTCGAGTCTACTAAATCTAATTTTTCATTATTTAATTTAATTCCAATATGCTCAACTTTTACATTAGGTAAGGAAAATTGAATACACTTGGTTTTATTAGCATTTAGCTTTAGATTATTGACATTAAACCATTGCAGAACTTGAGAGAGAGCATTATTTACATCGTCATAGTTGTTTTTGCGCCTGTCAACGTTAAATAATAAAGATGTGTCATCAGCAAATAATACAATCTCACACAAATTTTCCACAAAAAATGGCAAATCATTTACATATATTAGAAACAGGAAGGGACCTAAAATTGAACCCTGGGGAACGCCCATTTCCACATGAGATCCAGATGATCTAACACCATTTACCTCTACAGTTTGTATTCTGGAACTGAGGTACGACTGTATCAATTTATATGCAGTACCTTTGACTCCATAATGACTCAATTTCAATAACAGCGTGTGATGATCAACGCAATCAAAAGCTTTGGATAAGTCTCAGAACACTCCAAGGACATTCTGCGACCTCTCCCAAGCCTCCAATATACTCCTTACAAGTGCAACACCCGCATCAGTAGTAGATCTACCTCTAGTAAAACCAAATTGTTTCCTATGCAAAAGTTTATTAAGGTTGAAATGAGGCATCAATTGTTCCAGAATAATTCTTTCAAATATTTTACTAAGAACCGGTAATATTGATATAGGCCTATAGTTTCCAGGGTCATTTCTATTTCCTGATTTAAAAAGAGGTATAACTTTACTGTATTTCATTAAATCCGGAAATACTCCTTGATCAATACAGTTATTAAATATATCAACTAGATAAGGAGCAATAACGGGTATTATACTTTTAATAACTTTAGTAGAAATACCCCATAAATCACTTGTATTTTTTTGTTTAAGAGATTTAAAACACTTAATAACATCAATAAAATTAATATGTCTGAACTGAAACACGTTATCACACCTAGGTACATATTTCTCGAGCAAAGTCTTGGCAGCCACCGATGAAGAACTTAAATTAGATGTAGCCACCAAAGGAATATTAACGAAATATTCATCAAAAATATTAGCGATATGTTGTTTAGATTTTATTAACATGTTATTCGACTTAAGTTCAACAATATCGTCACGTGACCTTTCTTTGCCTGTTTCACGATTTATAACATTCCACGTTGTTTTGATTTTATTATTCGATTTACATATTTTATTTTTAATAAAATTAGATTTGGCTGTTGCACATAC